GGTTGAGGGGACCAGCACGTTCCTGGAGTGCCAGCCAAGATCCCCGCAGGCCACCGTCAAATGGCTCTACCAGAAGGACGGCAAGCGAAAAGCAGTAAGATACTCACGTTACTATTATTAGGCTTTCTGCCATCATTCAAATTTACAGTAAAAAAGGCAGCTGTGGTTGCCAGAATTTAATCATAAAAAATATGGTAGCAAAATTTTTGGTTTCGCAGATTTAACTTAAATTTACAGGGAAAAAATCATGAATTAATATAATGTTAATATACCAATGTACTGAAGTACTGAAGTCTGGTTTGTACCTTTATAACACACAGACAACCAATGAGAAAGACGCATTACAATTTTTACCATTAAAATTTGAATTTTACTACAGTAGACCTTCATGTCATTATGAACTTGTATGAATTTCTTTCTTCAGAGGATGTTTTGAAAAATGTCTCAGGGTTTTTTTTTTGTCATTATAATGAAACCCAGTGGGATCCAGTGTTGTTTTGAACTCCTATTGACTTTCATTGTATGGACAAAAGCAGTTGAAACATGCTTCAAAATTCATCTTTTATATTTTGTATCATTAATTAAGGCATAAATGACTCCTTTTCCTTTTCAGCTCAGTCGAGACAAAGATGTCTTGAAGACCGGTCACGGCATCCTACTGAAATCTCTCACCCAATCAGATGCCGGCCTTTACCACTGCCTGGCAACCGAGAACAACTTCAAACACACCGTGGCACGCATCTCCCTACGGATCCTGGACCGGGAAATAGTGGAGGCGCTGACTGAGTCAGATGTCCCGATAGAACCAGAGCACCGCCGCCACCATTCCCATCACCACCCTCCACCGCCGCCCCCTCCTCCTCAATCCCACCCACCTGCTCTCCAGCTCCACCCACAGCCTGAGGTGCGTCTCATCAACCAGTACTGCCAGTCCTACAGGCAGCAGATACAAAGCCAGCCACACAAAGCCAAACGAAACAACCGCAGGCACACGGGAGAACAGGAAGAGGAGGAGCTACAGGAGCAGTGAGTGGAACAGCACCTGGGACCCTGTTGACCATGTCCCGTCCATGTGCCCCATCATTATGTACTTCCTCTAGGCAAACTCGGTCCATTTAATAAAATGATTCATTAGTTTAGACTGATTCAATTGATTCATTCGATGTGTCAGACTGAGTCTGAACTAGATTGATTTTCATTTTGAGGTACAGTTTGATGCACTTAGCTCCCCTAACTAATCTAAATCTGGCTGTGATGTGCTCACTTCCATAGTTTTTTATTATTATAATTCCTTAAATCGTCCTGCCACACCATCAAAACTACTGCTGTTTTATGTAAAACATAAGCTATTCCATTCTAATATTCAGTACACCAATGACTGCAGTGTAAATATTATCAGAAACATTTGAAAACATGTGCGTTGTAGAGGTTTTAAAAGGTGTTTTGGGCAAAATTTAAAGATCGCTGATTCAGTCAGTCATCTCTAAACCCCCAGATCATGAAATACAGTAGTCAAGATGGTTGGATTTATGTTTCTGCAAGGCTACAATTATAGCACAATATATCTTACCATCATTTTGACCACCGAAGTTTTTGTCTTTTCTTGGCATTTGCAGCTTTTTATAGAGTTTTCTGTAGTTAAAGTCCTTTGAAGAACAGGTCAATTTGTATGGACAACTAGGAGTGGCACTTAAAATTAAAATGAATATATAGTAATATAATAATTTAAACATTAAAATGAAAATAAATCGTTTTATAATTGAAAAAATGAAATGATACATTGATAACTTTTTTTTATCATTTTATTTTTAAGTGTCACTTCTAGTCCTCCATACATTTGAGCTTTAATTTTAGTTTTGATCCATGACAGAAATTTGAAAGCCTAGAACTGAAAAGAAACTTCTACCAAAAATGATATTTCAGTATCATTTGCATGTTTAAACATGTTTCAGATAAAACTTTAGATAGATTGGGAATTTAAAATAATTGCAATAACATTATTAGCCATTCAATTAAAAAATTACATTTAAAAAATGATTTACATGTCAAATATGTGGATTGTCAAACAAAATATTTATCTGATACTAAAAATATTATATATTTTGTCTCCTTTTTGTAGTGGAACAAACAGCTCTTTGTAACATGATTGGATCATTGCTCTGGAAATGTAAAGGTTTTATTCAGACAAGACTGTGGACCAAAATGACATGAGATTTGCAAAAATAAAAATTGTTTGTAGTAATTATGCTTCAGAATCTCTCCCTTGTGATCAATGAAACCAGACATAGCATTAACTGTGATGTGAAAAGCCTTGATACGTACTTCACATTGCAATTTTAATTGTAACCAAAATACAAGTCGGTTATCTTCTTGTTTTGTCTTGTAAAACAAATGCTTGTCCCCCAACTACTATGAGCAAATGGATCTTTCCTGATTTGAACTGCTGTATATATAGATACAGTTTTTCAGTCTGGTCTCTTCTATCTTTGACTCTGGACTCTGATGATAGTCGGACCGCTAAAAACATTCTCACTTTCAATACATTGAATCAAAACATTTTGTATTCCACGGTTTGTCTATGGTGATATGTGGCCATGTTTTTTGCTTGTGTATAAACACAGTATCTGTGCTTTGTGTTGTGTGACAATGACACATGTACATAGAAAATGTATGTATTCGACTAGTCACTGTTCAGGATTAAAAACTAACCTCCTCTTTTTCCTCATCTGTCACGTGACCCTCTGTCTTTCTCTTCTTCTCTCTCTCTCACCCACACCATGCAACATATTTATTGTGAGAGTGTACATATTCATGTGAGTTGTGCTCTTTGGTGGTGGGACAGGGCTGGTTTTGATGGAAAATGTCATTGTTTGTATTGTTTATTAACAGGACCAGGACACATGGAGAGATGCTGAGAGGGAAGAGGTAGATGTTTTTGGATATATTTAAATCGGTTAACCTGTAGACATATATATTTTAATATTTGAAACATTTAAATTAACCTTGGGATTCTCAAGAAAAAATATGGGCAAAAAATCCACTCTTTTTATTAGCTGGCATGAAATATTTCATATCTGCAGTGTGTTTTAAGCCAGAAATGTCTACCTCTTCAAGCACTTTCTATGGAATATCACTTGACACCAGACTAAAGGACAAAAGCAAGGGAAACGTGTTGTATAATTTTTTTCTTAGAACATTTACTTTGTCTAGCCCACTATTGTCATTTTTTGAAAGGATAAGAGTGTTTCTCTTCATTGTATGTTGGAGGAATATTTATAATGACTTTGTATAAAAAGCGCTTGATGAAATGCTTTGTGGTTTTAACCCAAGACATGTTATCTGGTCTTGAAGGGTGGAGAACAGATTCTAGAGTCCAAACCACATTTCATTCCTCTCCACAGAGATGTCATTGTGCAGAATGACATCCGACACAGCTTCTCTGAAGAACTTTAATGCCACATAGACTTTCTTTGTCCTGTTGTCTCTTTCCTTTGGTGTTGGTTGTTGAACTAAACAGAAACTTCCTAAATATGGTTGCTTTCTAAATATTTCCTCTTTGTATTTACAGATGTTTGTGTAGGTTCATGTTAATGTGATTGTTTGTGATAAATATTATTTTATTATCATGGTATTCTGGGGTTTGGGAGTCCTAATAGGTGTTTTTTTTAAGCAATAACAATAAACTGCTGTTTTTGTTTTTATCCACTTATGTATTTATTGTTTTAACTATCGGAAAACTTGACATATCTTATCTATATCAAAAGTGTCATCATCAGTACATTTTCATTTGATTATTTTAATACTCTTTTTAAACCTTTTTGATAGTTCCATTCCGATTTGTCCTGTAGGGGAGGTCCTGTGCAGCCAACAGCTACACAGAATATTGTACATGGCTTCAGAAAACTAGATATATAGTGGTGTGAAAAAGTTTTTGCCCCCTTCCTGTTTTTTTAATTGTTTGCATATTTGTCACACTTAAAAGATTCAGATCATCAAACAAATTTTAATATTACACAAAGATAACCTGAGTAAATACAAACTGCAGTTTTGAAATTATGATTTCATTTATTAAGGGAAAAAAGCTGTCCAAACCTGCCTGGCACTACGTGAAAAAGTAATTGCCCCCTAAATCTAATAACTCGTTGCGCCCCCCTTTGCAGCAACAACTGCAATCAAGCGTTTGCGATAAATGGCAATGAGTCTTTCACAGGAATTTTGGCCCACTCTTCTTTGCAGAATTGTTTTCATTCAGCCACATTGGAGAGTTTTTGAGCATGAATGGACTGTTTAAGGCCATGCCACAGCATCTCAATCGGATTTAAGTCCGGACTTTGACTTGGCCACTCCAAAACCTTAATTTTGTTTTTCTTGAGCCATTCAAAGGTGGACTTGCTGGTGTGTTTGGGATCATTGTCCTGCTGCATAAACCAAGTGCGCTTGAGCTTGAGGTCACAAACAGACGGCCGGACATTCTCCTTCAGGATTTTCTGATAGAGAGCAGAATTCATGGTTCCATCAATTATGGCAAGTCATCCAGGTCCTGAAGCTGCAAAGCAGCCCCAGACCATCACACTACCACCACCATGTTTGACTGTTGGTATGATGTTCTTTTTATGAAATGCTGTGTTGGTTTTACGCCAGATGTAACGGGACACACACCTTCCAAAAAGTTCAACTTTTGTCTCATCAGTCCACAGAATATTTGCCCAAAAGTCTTGGGGATAAACAAGATATTTTTTGGCAAATGTGAGACAAGCCTTTGTGTTCTTTTTGGTCAGCAATGGCTTTTGCCTTGGAACTCTCCCGCCAGGCAGGTTTGGACAGCTTTTTTCCCTTAATAAATGAAATTATCATTTAAAAACTGCATTTTGTATTTACTTGCATTATCTTTGCGCAATATTAAAATTGGTTTGATGATCTGAATCTTTTAAGTGTGACAAATATGCAAAACATTTAAAAAACAGGAAGGGGGCAAAAACCTTTTCACGGCACTGTATCTTGACAAGAAAAACATTACTGGGTCTGTAAAGAAGGCAGATTTGGAATAAGACAGTTGATGAGTCAAAAGCATGTGCACACAGAAGGAAATATCCAACATAAACCTGTGGTTAAGCTTGGCAGTCCTATGTTTGGATGAAATCTAACACCACTCCTGGTTTGGCTCAACTACAGTTCCTTCTTCCTGAATGAACTCTCACTGAGCTACTGTGAAGTTGAAAGCTGGAGTTGAAAACAGACCAGTCTTTGAAACGAGGCTGAGACACTGCAAAACAGGCTTGAAACCTAGTCATTATCAAAGTTGGGTTTTTATTGCTTTATTGGATTTACAGCAGATCTTCAGATCATTCAGTGCAACTTTAATCTGGAATAACCTGAAGATTCATGCCTATTGCTAAAATGATTACCACTGAGCATCAGCTTTATCAGCTAATTTTGCTGAATTGGATGACATAAATGTGTGAACCAAGAGCAGAGAGAAGCATTATTCATCCCATTCATCTTCTTCATCTTCATCACCCCCATCATCGTCTTCATCTTCTGAAGAAAGCAAAAAAAAAAGTTTTCGTATTTGTTTGTATCTAATGATAGAAAGATACTAAATGCACAAAAATAAAAGTCTGCCATTACAGTTGAAAAAGACAATCGCCTTTCTGATAGCGCGCATATATGCATGCAGCAATCTGAAAATAGCCTACATTTTAATGCACTCTTTTCTGTTTATTGATGTTTTGTCTCGCGTCATATTTTGAGTTTCTTTTTTTGTGTGCGTCGAAACAACCAACCAAACAGAACTTAACAGCGCTTGTTTCATTAAATATTCATTAGCTTTGCGCAGTCGCAGAAACGTTGACGAGCTGCGCGCAGCGCGGCATTTGAGAGAAAGTAACGTGTCAGACAGTGACAGAAAACTCGTCAATTTAAATGAAGAAGATACCGTTTTATTCTTACATGGATGGTCCAGGACAAACTGGAATACACAGGAAAAACTGTAAGTCGAACTGTTGCCCAAGAACGAGAGCAACTGCTATTTAAACGATTGCCTCCTGTGTTTGTCCAATCAATTAAACATAGCAAATATGCAAATAAGAACATTAAGACGCAATTTACGAATGTGAAATATGGAAAAAGATAACCTAGGATCCAGTTAACCCATGTTTTGACGTGTTTGTAAAAATAATAGATTTATTAAATGGGTTACCTGAGGAATGGATAACTTTACTCCTTTTCTGCATCACCATCATCAGAGCTCCCACAATTCCCCCTGAGGATTCATCTTGAACTGGAGGATTAGGGTCCGGGGATTCAGACACCTGACATAAACAACACATCATAAGTGGTTATACCCAACAAAGCACAGTAAAAATTCACACCAATAATGATATATAGATATATAGAATGATAAATATAACTAGGCCTATGCACGATAATGCAAAAACAATAGTTCTGAAAGTGATTCCAATGGTATTGTTCCTCTGTATTGCTATCGAATAGTGGACTTCCCTATTCTCATAGAATTAGAACGATTATTATAACGTTATCGTTAGTGTGCATGGCCCTTATAAAAACAACTGAACAAAATGCATTGCATTTGTGTCTCACATACATTCTTTAGCACACGTCCACGGCGAATTTCGTCCATTAAGGTTCCTCGTCCTCCACCACCAGAGGGAGGAGGAGGTGGAGCTGAGCTGGCAGGGCTACTGGGGAAGTTGCCTGCTGAAGAAGGTGGCGGTGGAGGAGGAGGTGGGGGTGGAGGTGGAGGCGGTGCACCTCCACCCATAGGTGGAGGAAGTGGCTTGTGACTTTGGCTGGGGGGTGGTGGTGGCGGAAGAGTAGATGGCATAGGGGGTGGAGGCACAGAACGGCTTCCAGGTGGTGCAGGTCGCGGTGGACCACGATGCGGGGGTCCAGGGCTGCGTGCAGGTGGTGCAGGACGTCCAGGTGGACCTGGGACTGGGGGAAGCCCGCCACGAGGTGGAGGAGGTGCAGGGGCAGAACGAGGACCTCCTGGGACTGGAGGAAGAGAGCCGGAATGACCCTGAGAAGTATCTGTGAGGGCAACAAACGCCATTAAAGTCAACTGAAAATGAAAAAAAAAAGTACTGGGATTTGGTTCTATTAATTGGTTGTTAATTGAATGAATGTGAATTTTCAGTTGATTATGAGAAAGGGGCGGGGTTTATGCAAACTAAATGATTGGAGAAGTCCGTCATACGTCAGCAGAGAAGTCTGTCCTTTTCATTAGGAAGATCAAGTTATGATATTTTGATAAAAAATTATGAGATCAAAATTTAAAATAAATAAATAAAATATGCATGGATTAATCGTTTACAATAACATCAATAAGATGCATTTAGAAAATAGATCTGAATTTCCACGTCATGCTGACATTAAGGATCTTAGCAAGGTGAAATTATCCAAATCAAACATCCAAATATTCCACACAGAATTTATTACATTTACATTTTTGAATGAGCTCACCCTGTTTCCTCATTTCCTCTTTTACTGCATCCAGGCCTCCAGATTGCTCGATGAAGTCATAGATGATCTTAGATGTTTCTTTGTCTGCCAGCTCGGCATCACTGATACCAGCACTGTTGAACAGTTTCTTCAGGTCAGGGTCAAGATTGTTGGTCTAGAGGGGCCAAAGTCAGTGTTCATATATACTATTTAACTTGCAATTAGAATAAGCATTGAGTATCAGTTTATGTGACTAAATTTGCTTTATGCATTTTTAAGGGAAAAGGACATTTCTTACATCAAAACCAGAGTTTGGATCCCACCCAATATGAGTGATATGTCTGAAGAGGAATGAGAGGCACAATCAGCATCACATCAAACAAATGAAACAAAACACAAGGTGAGTGTCCAACTTATGGTAAAATACTCTTACTTAAATCCACTAGGAGCTCCAATATCTGCCTTAGTGAGTTTTGGGCCTTTCTTCTTTCCCTTTTTGTCCTTTTTGCTTATGCAAAGTGAGGCTGGTGCGGGGGTTGGCACTGGGGTGGAGCGGTACCTTGATGCCACAATATCTGGGTTCTGGATGTCCACTGCGGCCATTACACTTGGCTGTGAAACTGGACCTGGTTATTGGACATATAGGTTAAACACTTGCATTTATCAATGCATTAGACCATGTGATCACTGCAGGATAAATTAAAGGGACATTTCACCCAAAAACGAAGTTTTTTTTCTTCTGCTGAACACAAAAAAAGGTATTTTGAAGAACAAATATTGTCTAAAACAATATTGGACACAAATTATTTTGATTACACAAAAAAAACACTGGGACATTTTTCAAAATATCTTCTTTTGATTTCCACAGAAGAAAGAAAGTCATACAGGTTTAGAACAACATGAGGGTAAATGATGAAAGAATTTACATTTCTGCATAAAGTGTTTAAAACGTTTTAAAAGTGACTCACCATTTGTTGGAGGGGTTTGTTGTAGTGCCAGGTTTTCTATTAATCAAAATAAAACCAACTTTAAAATGCTAATTTAACAATTAGTACTAAGTGTATGTTTAAACTTGTGGACACATACCTTCAGACGGAGCATGCTGTCTTTTTTCTAAATATGCATATATAAAAAAGGCACAAAAAGATACTGATGAAGTATTTATTGAGTATTTATGGGTAATGATTCTAGCAAAATTCATATAAAATTAGAATGACAGTAACTGACCCTGGCGGTTGGATCTCTGATTAATCTTCTCCACAGTGATGTTTCTGAAAATTTCAGCTTCTGTCTCACTGGCAAAGTTCAAACCTACTTGACAGTCCTGAGACACAAGTGCATTCAAATATATTAGATCTCTCAGATTGTGAGATTTTAATTTTACAGTGAAAACTTGACACAATCTGACAAAGTCTTAATGTAAAGTAAAAACTTAAAGTAGACATTTCTTATAAATAATGTAGCTTAATTCAAGCAGTTATTTAGATGTATCGGACAGCGTTGAGTTTTGGCTTGAATTGAGATTTCTAAAGGGCCTGTACCCACATCAGCTGCAAAACTGTGGAAGAACCTCATTGGACAGGAATATGCCATCTGATTATACAGCTCCTGCTCCCAAACCATTTTCCCTTCCTGAAAATAAATAAAATAAAAACGCATAAATATTATTAAAGTCTAAATGGTGCTACCACAGTGTGACTTAATGAACTGAGTTGAGTTGAGCTTCTGTGACTCAGAACTCAAAGCAGAAGTGTATCTTTATTTAATTTCAGCCTGCTTGGCCACAGGTCAAGTTTAGTCATGCTAACAAGAGTCAGTATAAGGGCTATTATATAATCTCAGAGAACATCCCTATCTGCAAAGATGCTAGATGCATAAACATTCTGCATAACAATTCTGATTAAGTAAAGAGCAGGTTTGTTAAAGGGGTCATATGATGTTGCTAAAAATAACATTATTTTGTGTATTTGGTGTAATGAAATGTGTTTATGCGGTTTAAGGTTCAAAAAACACATTATTTTGCACATACTGTACATTATTGTTTCTCCTCTATGCCCCGCCTTCTGAAACGTGTCGATTTTTACAAAGCTCATCGGTCTGAAAAGCGAGGTGTGCTCTGATTGGCCAGCGATCCAGTGTGTTGTGATTGGCCGAATGCCTCAAGCGTGTGACGGAAAG